AAGGTCTAATTAGAGCATTTAGGAAAGATAAGAGCATGCCAGAACAACTAATGGACGATTTACATTCATGTCCTCTGCAAATGAGGTCAGAGCAATTCTTTTGCATGAGCCATTATTTACAGGGAATAAGTGAAAAAACTGTCTCAAGAGTGTCAGTAAAATGAATTTTAGCTCAAATTTATAGAAATCCATTATTTTAAAAATAAACTTGAATTTGAGATTAATAATAACAAATGACTAAAAGCAAATTGTCCTCACTTAAGTGGTCTGAAAGAAGTCAGGTGTGAGGTGCTGAACTAGGTGCTGCTGAGTGTAATCTTTATTCGTCCTGAGGAACAGAAGATGGCAAGTATAATGGCAAACTTTAAAAAGCAAACAGAGAGCAGGAGTAAATGGTTATTGTTTTTGTTCTAAAAGGAGGTTACAAGTGGATTCATCAGGAATCTCTTCTGTTCAACACATACATGAACCATCTGGAGGAAGGGATACTTTATGACCTGACAATTTGTTATTGTTACATAATTATTCAAGACTGTCAAAAAGAGAGGTCACTGTAAATTGTAAACTGTAGAATTTCAAAATACAAAGCTGGGATTTTTTCTAATATTGTGAAACTTCTATCTGAACTGATTCTTAAGGTTCACTTCAGAGGGGCGCTGGAGAGACGTACTTATTTTAGTGGTGTGAGTCATCTGTCCTATTTTGGTTGCCATCTGAAAGACATTATGGATATAAAAGGAATTAAGAAGTCTAGCTCAGACACAAGAGATTATGCTATAGACCTTTCAAATAAGGAGAAAGAGATCCCACCATAGGTATCGAGGCAATAAATTCAGATGAAAGTCAGGGTTGATGAATGCAAGATGGTGGTAATCGTGAAGCCAAGTGAAGCCATGACTCTGCGTATACCATAAGAGGCTGTTACTGCTTGATTTGAGAGTCATTGTGAGTCTGCAAACATCATCTCAGTGCTGGTGTGATTAAAAAGAGAAACAGAATTTTGGAGATTGTGGAAAAAAGGGAATTTAAGACCAATTTAAAACATGGAAGGCTACGTTAGTGCACTGACGATGCACTCATAGCTTGAATGCTATGTTTTAATAGAAAACAACTGTTTTTCTTTCTCATATGTGAAGCAGTAACAGAGCAGAGTTTAACATGAAGGAGGGTTCTGGGTTTTGGGGGTGTGGGGTTTTTTTTTTTAGTTTGTTTTTTTTCAGTGAACAGGGAAATTGTAGAACTCATACTGTAGAGCATGAGATGCTGTGGAGGCCTTAATTGTGAGTGGGAAGAAGAAAGATACAGCGACTTTGAAGTACAGTGTCACTGGTAAATATTAAGTAAGGAGATCTAGATAGGCCGTTCGCTCAGGATTTCCACAGTGAAATGCTGAGAGCTGCAAGTGTGTAGCAGAAGTGTTAGCTCTGCATGCTTTCTTTATGCTTTTCCCCATACGTTTTGGCCATTGCTAGAGATGGATTTTGCAAAATAAAATGATCGCACTGGGTTAGAGTGAGCAGCTGAGTTTAGTATGTGTCATTCTAAAGGCTGCTTCTATTTATTTGTGGTTTTTTGGTTTTGTTTTAAGGATAAGATTTCATAATAATGTTACAAGAACATGTGTTTCCTGGTTTTTGCAACTGCTTGATTTTAGTTTGGGGAGGCTCTGAAGTTCCTCCTGACTTCAATAGGTTTTGGATCAGATGCTATGTACTGTGTTTCTTTTTGGTTACTAGGCAAAGATGTACTACATCTCATTATTTTATTAGAACAAGCTTCTTGAATGAATAGCCAGCTTTTGCCTAATCTTTTAAGATTGAGCTATGTTATTTATTTACTAGCTAAGTGTGCTGGAGCATGCGCTCAAAGTAGATGTTTTTGTCAATTACTATGGCAATGGA